AATAATAATTTAAAATAATATCTATTAGAATACAACTAAAATTAATAAAAATTTTCAAAATTTTAATAACAATATATATATTTAAACAACCGGTATAGTTTGTGTTTACTATATATAATAATAAATATTTTAACAATGAAATATATTATTTTATTATATAATTGTCTGGATTTGTTACATTTTATTAAACTATTTAATTAGTAAAAAAATTATTATTAAGAAATTCATATAGAATCTATTATTATAGATATAGCTTATATAATAAAATATATTATTCATCTGTTATCAATTTAATTAAGAATTCAGATTAATTTGAAATAAATAAAAACGTTTGAAAATATAATAGAGAAATAGCTGCTTTCATATTGTAAAGATTTTTGAAAATCAACTAATTTATCGATCTTTTCGTTTTTTTTTTCTTGTTAAGTGCTAATATCTCATATATATATTACATAATAACAATAATAAAACCAAATAAGGTAAAATTTTTTATTTACAGTAATTCAAAAATTTTGTACATCGTGTATTGTATAAATAAAATACTGTATATGGATAAATTTAATATACGGAATACGAATTTTGCAGATAACCGATGATGTCATAAGTAAAGAAATAAAAAATATTTGTGAAATTATACAAATCTTATTTTTGCGTGCGTGTAACTTTGCAATTACATAATATCTAGTAGGAAAGTCCAAGTTCAAAAAGATCAAACATGTCATTTTGTCCCGAATGTAATAAAAAATTTTCATTATACGAATGGTGTATGTCATGTAATGGAATTCACTTTCAACAAGATTTTGACAAATGGACAAGTGGAGATAAAAAAATTGACGAATTTATACAAAAGTCTCAGCTTCAAGCTAGAAATAACAGCATGATATTTGAATGGATACCGTATACAAAATTTCAAGATATCAAATATATCGCTAAAGGAGGATACGGCACTGTGTATTCTGCAACATGGGAAGATGGTCGTATTGAAAATTGGGACGTTTTAAATAAGAAATGGATTAGAAATTATCCTAACAAGAAAGTAGCATTAAAAAGTTTAGATAAGCTTAACTCAGTTGACGATCTTATAAATGAGGTAAAGAATATTAAATCTCGTTTAACTATGATTTTATTATTAAATTTATTTTAAATTTTAGATTGAGAAACATTTTATTATGTGGGACAACACCGTTTTTGTTATTAAGTGTTATGGGATTACGCAACAACCAGAATCATTACGCTACATGATGATATTTGGTTTTCAAGAAAATGACAGTCTCAGGAATTACTTGGACGAAAATTTTTACTCGATGGATTTGAAATTAAAATTAAAGTCGTTGAGAGATATTTCTGAGGGTTTACATACAATGCACGAAAAGAAATTAGTTCATAGAGACTTTCATCCTGGAAATCTTTTATATAATCATTACTTGGACTTAAGAATCTCAGATCTGGGTCTTTGTAAATTATTTGATAAAACTCAAGAAAACGAAACTCGCAAAGAAATTTATGGAGTTCTTCCATATATTGCACCCGAAGTCTTGTGTGGTCATGCTTACACACCGGCAGCAGATATCTATTCATTTGGAATGGTAGCATATGAAATGATTACAGGATTTCCTCCATACTATAAGATTCCTCATGATCAAAGTCTTGCTATGCGAATATGTCAAGGCTTACGTCCAAGAATTCCATTCAAGACGAATAAATTTTTAGTTAGATTAATAATGCAATGTTGGGATGCGAAGCCATCAAACCGACCTGATGCTGATGAAATATGACACACTATAAACAATTGGATTAGATTAATCGAAAGAGCCAAACCTTCGGATTTTAAAGAAAAAGTTAAAGATTACGAAAGTGAAGTTTCGATAGAATCACTAACTAGTAAATTCTCGGGACTTAATTATAAAACACACCCAAATGCTATTTACACTAGCAGACTTTTGAATTTTTCTAACTTATCACAACCAACTAATGCTCCTAATTATGAAAATGTACTCAAAATGTTATCGAATGACAGTGCAGGTGAATACAGTTTAGATAGTATAACGTTCATTGCTTTCTAAATTTTATTAACAAATTTTACTTTTAACACCCTATATAACAGATTCGAGTTTAATTAACTTGGATAACTCCGATTTTTTAGGTATTTTGAAATTAATTTTTTTTAAAAAAATATTATGAATTATAACCTATTCCTAAATATAATGCAACTCCAAACAAAAAGATCCAAACTTCTTTTCAAGGTAACTAAATGCCTACTCGCACCATGGCATTTGACAACGGTTCATATTGTATATAATAGTTTGCAGAGTAGAGCTAAGTATAAAGAAAAACTTTCGGTGAAAATAAATTAACTTTTGCTTTATAGTTATATCGTTTTTCTAATTACTGAAACTACAATTCGAAGAAACTTTTAGAATCTCAAATGTTTAAATAATTTTCTAAATAGTAAAGTCTAAAAAGAAAGAATTTTTTTCTGATTTTTTTTACTCGTATTATAGTACTAATAAAGATAGTTAAAATAATCCAAATTAGTGATATACTCATTAGTAATGATCGTAATAGAGGATGCAAGTATACTTAATTTTTTTAACTTTAGTTTTAATATTTTTAATTGATTACAATTATTTTTATAATGATTTTGACCAAATATAATTAATATACTGTACATTAATAAAATTTAATTATAAAAAAATTCTTTGCTAGCAATATTATTTTTAATATCGTAGTCAATACATATTTTCTATTATATATACTGTATTTTTAAAATAATTTTTTATTCAAAAAATCTATTATGAAATTTTTTTATCGGTTTTCATTTTGAAAAGACATCAAAATTTAAAAAAAGCCTAATTATTAAATTTATATCAAATATCAAAAAAAGTCTAATTATTTGATTACAAGTTTTTATCTTTTTTTATATTGTATATATAATTACTTTTAAAAAAATTTTTTAATTAATTTAATTTAATTTAATTTAATTTTTAAATTATTAATTATATTGAACTCTAAATAACATACAATATTGACAAAACAATTAATTTTTTTAATTAAAATGCTATAAATAAAATATCAACTTTATAAATTCTAAATTAAAGCAATATTTTTTTAAAAAATTTTTTTAATATTATATAAAAAAATGTTAAAAAATATTGTTTTTTTAATTTTATAAATATTTTTAAATAATATAAAATAAAAATTATATTTTTATTTAAAAATAAAAAAATTTTTTATTAATTTTTTTGCCATCTAAAAAACAAATATTTTAATGAAATTTTATATATTTTTTCTTTTTGAAAATTTAAAAATTTTTTATTTTATTTAAATATTTTGATTTTGTTATTGCTAAATTATTTGAATTTAAAAGATATATTTTTTAAATAATTTAAATGACATAATTTTGTAAATTATTATTTTGTGATTATCTAATTACTTTAATAATATTTTGTTCCAATATTACAAGTTTAATCTCAAGTTCTATATTTTATTGCTTTAGTTTTTGAACTTTAATATTAAGTTTTGTATTTTCTTCAATAATTTGCTTCAACTTCACATTCTTTTTTCTAAGCTTAGCAATTATAATTACAAAATTGGAATTCAATTTCTTTAATAAATTGGTTTTGGATTAAATATTAGATATTACATTATATAAAAATATATTTTTCAAATTGTATAAAATATAAAGTTAAATTTATATAATTAAATTTGTAAAACATAATATCAAAAAAAAAAAATCAAGAAAAATACTTATAATTGATATATCTCAATATATGCAAAAATCTTTATTTAACCTATAATAACTAATGATATGTCTGCATTAGCAAAGCCTCTAGTAAAACCAAAAAATCAGTATAAATTTTATATGCTTAATATAGATACCAAGTAATTATAAATTCTGTGTTTAAATATCCTTTATGAAAATATTCTTTCTTATGTTGTGCAGGTAATTCTTTGTATATTTTATATATTTAACACATGAATACATGAATATGGTACGAAATAAATATTAGATTCTTATTGCTAAGTATATCGAATTATCAGATCCATTGCTTTGCAATAAAGAATATACATATCTATACGTATTCGCTTATAATTCTTTGATTTAGCTACATTATTCCCAGAACATAGCATCAGAGAAAAATATTTTGTTAATAGTAAGTTCCCATCTTTATTGTTACTCCAGTCCAATTTATAATTATTAAAAAGAGAGCCAAATTTCTGTTTTATTTAATAATGATGTTATGAATATAAAATATGCCACTGCGCCAAACCCCAGTAATGACCAGGAGATTCCATAAATCAATAGGTTTAAACTAAAGGCTATCGCTCGCCCTTGTTTAATATGAATGATCAACTTGAATTCTGAAATGGTAATTCTCTGCCTTTAAATCTTCCAAGTAGACAAACCACGCAAAGGATATTTCAACGATCTTTCAAATCATGGTGGAATTGACAAATTATATTGAAATTAACTGCAGCTGTAAGAAAATCATCAAAAGATTTGGGAAGATTTGGGAATATTTGACCCAAGATCTAGTTTCTTCATCTTGAAATATAAAGTGGGATAAGTGATTTCGAAATACTTATTAATTACACCAGACAATGGTTGAAGACCTATCAATTATTGAACGTATTTGGTGTTCTTCGCAATGGCAGGATGCGGTGTTTGCAGTGGTGTACGGTAGGTTATTGCTATCTGAAAAACTACAAAATGTTCAATCAAGTCCGCCTTAAAATACTTGGATTGATGTGTAGGATCATCAAACGTGTGTTTGTAATATTTATTTACTGCCACTCCGATTCTCTTACAGATACTTATCGATATGGAAAAGATCCACAATGCATTGCGGACTAAAAATATGTTAATTAGTACCCCTTGCAACGGTCATTGTAGATTCTTTGGAAATATAGAATTTATCACTCGGGTGTCGTAAAAATTTTTCGTGCATATGTTCTTCTAGTGATTTATCTTGAGATTCAACGTCTAATAAATACGATTCTCCTGGAACCAGCAACTAAATTCGACATAGCAAAAAATTTTAATAAAAACGTATAATATTAAATTTTCAATGGTCTAAACATACCGTCTTTTTTAATGTCTCACATTCCCTCAATCACATCCTCTTAACTCGCATTAATGTGAGTAAGAGTTAGGAAAAATATGCAAGGCACTTTAAGCCAAAATTTTAAAGACATGCGGAATGCGTTGGGGACGATGCATATACGGACTTTTTTTAGCTCAACCAATCAATATTAAGACCAGTAGCGTTATATGATATGCTCTGGTCGGAATTTAGTAGAAATAGCCCATAGTTTCGGAGTAATTTCATGCTTAATGTTAATAAACGCAATTCATCGCACGAATAGTTTTGGGATTGATTTCTTTTGCTAAATAGGAAACAATAACAGGACATTGTGGAACCATTAAGAATGCCGATTGGTTTAAATAAGAGACACTTAGGTCAGTACTACAGGTGTTTATAGGAAACTTTCTCCTTTTTTTCATAATGAACGAATTACCACCAGTTATTTCTTTAAATTCTAGTACCATATCTGCTAATGATATTGACCTCTTTTACAAAACTAAAAAGGATTTTAGTAAAGGTATATCACGCATAGACCTGCATAGGTATTCTGTCAAGAATGCGCAGTATACTGTAAAACGTATTATTGAATTTTTTTATTACAACCAATATTGTAATACTATCCTTTTCATTACTGGAAGAGGAAAACATGCTAATAACAAAGGTGAACGTGGTATTCTATTCAAGCTATTCCCACAATGGCTGGAAGACGAAAATATTTCTCATATGATAGAGAAATGCGAACCCCGAATAGGCGCATATAAAGTCACTTTAAAGAAAAACAATATTGAATCTCCTCTTGGGGAACCTCTTAATTTGGTCGTAAATAATTCCGAAACTAATCCCAATATAAATATTGAATCTCCCCTTGTGGAGCCTCTTAATTTGGTCGTAGATAATTCCGAAACAAATACCAATATAAACATCGAATCTTCCCTTGGGGAGCCTCTTAATTTGGTCGTAGATAATTCCGAAACAAATACCAATATAAACATTGAATCTCCCCTTGAGGAGCCTCTTAATTTGGTCGTAAATAATTCTGAAACAAATACCAATATATACGAGCCCGAGCAGAATAATCTTGTTGAAACTAGCTCAGACGCGATTTCTGATGTGCAACAAAGCACCCCGCTCGAACTTGTCTTGAAGTCTGAATTTCTTCATTCATTAGCAGAAATGGATTTACCCAATTACCAATTTTATCTTGGTGTAAAATATCATACTGGTGATGGAATTAAAAAAGACGACAAAGAAGCAGCAAAATGGTTTCGAAAAGCAGCCGAACAAGGTTTGTCCTCTGCACAATTTATGCTAGGTTTTTTGTATATGATCGGGATGGGTGTGCAACATGATATTCAGCAAGGATTACATTGGTATCATTTGGCTGCAAGACAAAATGATCCCATTGCTATGAGAAACATTGCGTATCATCATTTAACCGAAAAGGATTACAAAAATGCAAAAGATTGGTTTTGTAAGGCATATGAAGCTGGTAATGCTGAATCCGCAAATCAAATTGGCATCATGTATAGTTTGGGGAAAGGAAACTCACGTGATCTTCAAAAAGCTGAAGAGTGGTTCCGAAAATCTGCTGAAGCTGGTGACAGTCATGGAAAAACAAATCTAGGAGCTCAATTATTAGAAAATGGTAACAAAGAAGGAGTCAAATGGATTAGAGAAGCCGCTATAGAAGGAATAGCTGTTGCACAATTGCATTTAGGAGAAGTTTATTATTTACAAGGCGATGTTGATGAAGGAAAAAAATGGTTTTTAGAATCAGCGATACAAAATGCGGGTAAACCTAGCGGACATGCACAATTTATCCTAGGAAGTCTTACAAACGATTCCAAACAAAAATTAGAATGGTATCGGAAAGCTGCTGATAACGATATAAAATTAGCACAAAAAGAGCTTGCGAAAATGCATCGTAGTGGATCTTATGGTCTGAAGAAGGATTGTGCTAAAGCGATTAAGCTATATAACGCAGCTGCAAAAACTACAAAGCATTATGGCTATGATGAAAAAGGAAATCAATATGCACAGTATAGTTTAGGAGAATGCTATGAGTTAGGATTATTGAAAGTAAAGAAAAATCCTAAAAAAGCACTTAATTGGTATAAAGAAGCTGCAAAACAAGGATATATGATGGCACTTACAAGATTAGGAATCATACAAGAAAATAATCTAACTTTGACGGAAATTCAGGAAAGGCTAAAAGGAATACATACACTTCCGACGTCAAAAGAATTAGAAAATGTAGACATATTAATATATTTAAATGTTTACAGTCATTCAACTAGATCTTATACTTTCAAAAGAAAAACTGATAAATTAAATAGTGATGATGAAATTTGTGGATATATGTTTTTTAAACGCGCCATAATGTCCACAACGTCGCAATCAGTAATGTTGCAACCAGTTGAAACATCGGCCTTCTCAAGGATGTGTTACTCGGTTTTGCGTTTCATCTTAATATGTTTTTTTATTTTTATCCTTTCATCAATTATTTTATGTTGTCACAAAGTTTACGGAACTTCCACAGTGCCATAAAAAAAGACCTATGTGGCTTTATTATTCTTTATGAGGTCTTAGCTTATATACACCATATATTCATTAATATTTGATGAATACTTGCGAAGCTATTCACATAACAGAATTAATCGATTATTCTTATTTTTTGTATAACTTTAATGTAACATTATTTGTTTAGTAGTGTGAATAAATTATTTTATATTCATAGGATACCGATGCGATAGGAATGAAAGTTCCAGCTTTATATCAGACTCAAATTTTAATATGTTTTGTTATTGTTGCTAAATGAGAATGATCGCTTCGAGAACTTTTTTTCTCTTTCTACATTCATTTGAAATAATAGTATCAGTAATGCACCTCTTCAATGAAAAGATACAGTACATGGAATGAATACTATGGAGTCACATACAGTGCAATATAAAATCAATTGAAAGTTTACTATATTACAATGAGAAAAGACCGGAGTAGCAGATGTTGCAAGGGAGGAATCAACCGTCCCTAGACCCCGAAAAGCGAGAAGTGTAGTTCCTTTCCTGTTACGCAGTATATAAATGAGTGTGATCACCCAAGCACCCATTTCTTCTTATATTTCTCCACGGTAAATCCCTCTATCGTATCTTTCACAATTACCTCATATAAAGTCTAAGATATAACATTACACAACTGATCCAAAGAATAGTTATGTGCGCCCTTAATCCTATTAAAGATGTCCTTAAATTGTTCCCGGATTACAGAAATGATATTTACGAGTTTTTGGCTCGAATCTGAGGAATTTTATGAACGAGAAGATGATGATGGAGCCACGCTTTGTTGGTCAGATCCTCTTTTATAACAATCTAGACAAGGGAGTGTCGTTGATTGATTTTCCTCTGGAGCATCCTGCCAATCGATTCGAAATCAGTTGCAATTTGACTAAATTATTATGGTAGGTTCCTAGAACTCGTTCAATTTCGTTATACAGTATTTCCCATTATCATACAGTTTAAATGATGTTCTGTGCCTCCGTTGCACAGTTAGCATCCCAGGGATTTATTTCGGATTTGATCTTGCTAATTTGTTCGGCGATAGTTTCATCAGCATTTTTTTGCTTTACGCCCTACAGGAAGAACCATATGGTGATGAATACTATAGACAAATGGATATTTTCAAGGTCATCTTCGCAACGACGAAAAATAAAGCAGCAGTTAAAGCCATAAAAGGCATATTTTGCAAAACGATGAATGGAAGCATTTATGTAAAGAAGTTCCGATTACTGTAGAAATTTAATTGTGAGTACGTGCGAATATCTAGATTTAAGATAAGTGAAACTAAGTTCTATGAGTTTATTTTTGTAAGACCTTTGTTAAATGCCACATTGTCTTTGTAAAAGGGTGGATTTGAAACAAGAATTAGGTTCATTGTATCGTATTGTAGGTGGTTTATATGACATGCACAAAAGAAATTAGTTCATAGAGACTTTCATGCTGGAAATCTTCTATATAGTTCTGAGTTGTGGTTGAATATCTCGGATTTAGGTATTTTCAAATTATTTGATAAAACTCAAAACGAAACTCGCAAAGAAATTTATGGAATGCTTCCATATATTGCACCCGAAATCTTGTGTGGTCATGCTTACACACCGGCAGCAGATATTTATTCATTTGGAATCGTAGCATATGAAATGATTACAGGATTTCCTCCATACTATAATATTCCCCATGATCAAGATCTTGCTATAGAAATCTGTCAAGGCTTACATCCAAAAATTCCATTCAAGACAATAAATTTTTAGTTAGATTAATAATGCAATGTTGGGATGCGAGGCCGTCTTGTCGACCCAATGCTATTGTTATGTAATACTGTACTTTACAGAGGGTGGACATATTATTGCGGACACTTAAAAAAAAATTTTTTAAAAAAATTGTACTTAATAATTTTTTTTTTTTAATAATAAAGTTATAAATATATAACTAAAACAATATGTTTATTTAATATCAATATTTTGTTGACCCTCCTTCAGCCGC